ATTTAGTACAATTACTATTTATTGCCTAGTGCGGGTAAGAAGACCACATACTATATTAATTCTGTATTGTATGTGATCTTTTTATAAAGCAGTTGTGSACGTATTTTGCTACTGTTACTGCTAACATTTTGGGTGGACTCATAAATAGCAGAAACAACTCGTTTTCACTTAACAAAAGAGAATCATTGTTTATGTTTTTATGCGCATGTCACCTGACGGCGCGATATATATTTCACCGTTGGTAGTCCGATGCGCGCTTTTAGTGATGCTATACTAGTATTTAATTTAATGTAATTTAATTCAATAGCTTTTATGTATCAAAACACTTTATTTTACTTCATTCGTTTAACTGACTGGTACTATCTGTAGATAAAATGAGGCGATAAGCCTTTACAGGGCAGATTGATTGGATTAATGAATATCTGTTTCTATAACAGGCATGGAAAACCGAGAAGCATAAAARTGCGTATTTTAAGAAAATCTCAAAGCTATTCCCAAACAATGGATGTGGGATGGAAAAGGAAAATTTAAGGCTATTCCGATATACCATTTCTACAGACGTTAGTCATACCAAGATTTACTCTATATGTTAGTGTCGAAGTTGGAGTAGAGAAAGCTCACTCCATATATGGTATGATCAATTCCATATTTGGATTGTGCGGAAAAGCGGCAAACAAGAAGGCCGTCGTTTTATAGCGAATTCGACATGAACATTTTTGAAGAAGAAAAAAATAAAAAAAAGACAAGTAAAAAAAAACATTGGAAAATCGAGGAAGGATACGGGGACGATGCTAACTCGTGGGTCTGCCCGCAGACAACAGACACAGGGAAATACGACACTCAATGTTTGATATGAGACACGTTTTGATCAAAGTTTATCAATTTRCATGAATTAAGACTGGCTATCTAGACTGACTCAAACTCACTTTAGCCTTGACTTAGAGTATAATGTTTTGTTTGATGTGAAGATTTAGTGGTAATTAAAGGTTTTGATGGCTATTGTTAGGTAAATAAGCCATGCTATATGCTACAGTTTTGTCCCAATTGTCCTAGTAGCTCATGATCAAGTCCCACTAGAAACACAGGAAGCATGTGAACAACTTGTCAAAGACACTTTCGCTCAAAGCCCAGACGACGTACGCCCCGCCAAATAAAATAGAAATATATATAGTATTAAACAAATATTTACAGTCTATGAATCAATGAACAACTTAAATAAATGTCAGTGTCTGTCAGTGACTGATCGTTGAACGTTGAACGCCAAAAGCATGCGGACTGTCAGTCCGACTGAAATCCGCCAGCATTTYAAAACCATCTCTTTAGTTTTTATAATCATTAGTATTGATCGCGTTTGATGGATTAGCAATTGGAATACAAACATAGGGGTTTTCGTAAGAGTGCTTTCATTCAMTAACGGCTGACGATTTCGTGTTGTGACAAAGGACCCTCTCACGCTCTAAAGAAACACGGAAGTGGAGTGACACTGTATGACGTGTGTACTTGAGCCGGCTTATCGCATAATACTCAATATCCTCTATCAATGAGACTTGGGTTGCAGTTGTAAAATATTGGCACTAAAAAGAAAAGAAAAAACAACTGGAATRCATTTCCGATGTCTATCGAGGAAAAGTGTTTTCACCTTTATGGATAATCTTTGGGGGGGGGAAATGTAATTCATAGAGGATTTGTTTGTCATCGGATGTTCTTAACGTGGATAGCGGAAGGAAGAACTGTATCCATCCATCCATCCATCCATCCATCCATCCATCCATCCATC